AAGGAGCTCGAGAAAGCTGACATGGCTTCCGTGTATATATGATGAGAGAGAAACACTTTTGAATTGAAAGTTACAATATTAGTCCCTAAATATTCTATTTTGCTACATCTTTTACCCCAAACTTAAAATAAAAATACTATATTTACTCTTTAACTTTATAGAAATTGACATTTAGATTTATTTTATTTAATGTTTATACTCTTTATTAATTTAAATAAATCCGTTCTATTTAAGTTAATTATTATTATATCCCAAAAGTATAAGTTAATTATTATGATACTCTTTAGCTTTAAAATAACTTGTTTAAATTAATTATTTTTAATATAATTAATTTACAAAAAATTAAAAAAAGAAATAATTACAAGTGTGACAACTCACGCCTTCTAAATGGCAAATGTGGCAAACAGTGTGACAAATATGATGTGACGCCGATGTGGACTGTGGCAAGCGTGACACCACACCCACCAACATTATAAGGCCACAGGTTCCAATGGATTTACGTTTGCCTTTATAAAAAGGTGTTGGGACAAAATCGACAAAGACATTTTCATGGTTGTCCGACTTTTTGAACAACATTCTGTCTTGAATCCTGACAGCAACACATCTATTATCACGTTAATTCTGAAATGAACACCTCTTATATCTCTTGGAGTACTTCCCCCCCCCCCTCCTCTCCCTCTTCAGCCTTATTGAGTGTGTTAGTAAAAGTATTTCCAAATAGCTTGTCGAACGCCTAAAGCATGCCATGCCCATAATAATTAGTTAAGAACAATCAACTTTTTTGATAGGTAGAGTTTAATGTTGTCTGATGGTGTTTCAAAAGCAAAGTTATATTTCAACATTCTACATGTGTTTCATTTATTCATTGTAGATTTGGGTTTTATTTGTGTTTCAAATCAAAGATGAAATTGGTCATTTCTTGTTGAGAAATTTAATGGAGTTTAATGGTGTTTAAAGCATATTGGGATTTACCTACTAGTACCGATATATCTTTCAATCAGAAATCGAAAACAATTCTAAATTAGGTTTTAAGAAGTCTAAGATTTTTTTTTTCTAAAACTAATGATGGTAGACGATGGTGATGGAAGGTGGTGGTGGTGATAATGGTGGACGACAACCAAAAATAAAGAGGCAATTGTAGGTTGTTGGTGAGGGTATGGTTATGGTGGGCACGAGTTTTAATTTCTATTTTTTTAAACAAAATTCGTTGAAAAAATAAAGTAAATTAAAAAGGATATAATGGTCTTTTATGTGGGTGATAGATCAACCATACTAGAAATTAAAACCACACATACCTTTTATAATACGAAAAAAACTTAAAGACTAAAACCCATAATCTAAAAACTACATGGACTATTTATGAAGTTTTGTCTAAAAATTATGAAGTTTTGTCTAAAAATTATGTTTTTCTAACATATATTTCCGTTCTTAACTTTTTTTCTCAAAAAAACTTTTATATATATATATATATATATATATATATATATATATATATGTTGTTTTTTATTTAGTCCTCTATATCTAGGAAACTTTTAGAAAAAGATTAATCAAATGTTCTCTTCTAATTCATTTATTCTTTTTAATATATTTAATAAAATAATTTTTAAAGTAATATAATTATATATCTTTTTAGAAAAAAATATATCATTATAACTAAAAACAAATTAACATGACACACTTAAAATACTTTTTTATACAACAATACATTATTTTATTAGCAATCTATGCAAAACATTTCATCTTTTGCTAATTTATATAATAATGTTTTTGATGTTTTTATCAATTTATATAATAAATATTTCATATTTTAACAGGCTATACAATTGACTTAACCTATGCATACTTTGCCTTTTAAATAATATTAGCTTTTATGGTCGGAGCCTTGGCAATGGGTTGGGTTGGGTCACATGTTCAATTAAATGAGTTGAAAATTTCTATCTAACCCAATCTATTTAAGTAAATCAGTTGAGAATTTCCAACAAAACCCAACCTTTTTAGTAACTAAGTTGAAATCGGGTTGACATCTTTATCGTTTTTTCATCCCAACCTATTTACTAAACAGGTTAAACCTGGGTTGACTCGTTTAATTTTTTATAAAAAACTCCTTAACATCAAATAATGCATCAAATAAAAATGCATAAAATTTAAAAGATATAATAATTATTTAATTTTCAAAATTATACAACAATAATTTTTTATGTCCATAACACAAACACAAGTAAGTGTTTACAACTATAAAACATTATAATTGTTTAATTTTTAAATTCTACGCAACTCGATTATCATTTTTACCGATTCGAATTCCAGTAATGGCTACTAACCCAAGGTTTTTGATAAATAAAAAAGAACAAATTACTGAAATCGTCCCTATGGTTTGGCTAAAATTACGCGTTTGGTCCCTAACATTTTTTTTGCACTCGGACCGTCCTGAAAATATGATTTTATTGCGTTTTTCGTCCGTATCCGACCTGAAATGACTATATTGCCCTCTCTAATTTATTTTTTACTTATTTTTATTATTTCTTAATAAAAAACAGAATGGGCCCACACCCACCCTTTGTCTTCTCACGTGTTCAAGACTCTTCCAATTTACTGTCCATTCATCACCACTCCTTTACTCACCCCGTAAATTATTGCCATCTTCGGCGAGACCAAAAATCCGGTGAACACCACACGTCATCATCCGCCAATCGTCACTATCATCTCTTCCCCCTAAATTGGTAAACCCTCATCAGTAACCTAACACTCACCCTCACTGTGCTTTTTCCCTCTCGTTCCTCCATTGCACTGCCGACGAAGATCTTAAATCGAAAATCGAAGATCTGCAATACAAGATCTTGGACTCAAATCGAAGATCTGCAATGCAATATAAGCTCTGGACTCAAATCGGATATCTTCATTGAACTTGTATCTTAAATCTCCCACCATCATCATCGTCTTATTGAAATTAGAGCCACCACCACCATAATGTTACTAAAACAGGTGATTTTCTGAAATAGGAGGCACCACCACCATCACCTTATGTAAATCAAGCCACCACCTTCATCGCTTCTGAAAATCGCCAGGTGTTCGACCAAAGTCGTTACGCTTGGACTTTCTTCTTTGAAATTTCTTATGTATGGTTAACAGATCTGATCAGAGCATCCTTCGCCTTTTCAGCTTTTTCGGGGACGGGATATGACCGGAGGAGTTTATTAACCGAGACTGAGAGTCATCAGTAGTCGACACTCAGTTAATTGATGAACTGTTGATGAAATTAAATTACACGGATCGACGAATTAGAGGTCGATGTTAGTGTTTTCAGATGGATGATTAGCTTTTTATTGATTCATCGAACAATTAGTTGTTCATGATTTCTTGTTTGATTTTGATTTTGGTTACATGTTACAAGTTTTTTTGGTTGGATTTCAGGTTTTGATTGTGATTACATGAAGTTTGCTTGTTTTTTTGGTTCAAAATCAATTGATTTTGTGTGGTGACTGGTGGTGGTTTTCTGAGGTGAATGGTGGTGATGGTGGGAGGTTAACGGAGGTGTTGTAGGAGGTTATGTTGGTGGTTGATCAGAGGTTGACGGAGGGGAAGGGTGGAGGGGAAGGGAATGGAGGAATATATGTGTTGGGGCCATATATTTATTAATATACTTTTTTAATTAATAAATAATAAATAAATAATATAAAAACTGAAAAAGAAAAGACAAAGGGTAATATAGTCTTTTCAAGTGTGCGAGGGACAAAAACGCAATAAAATCATACTTTGAGGACGGTCCGAGTGCAAAAAAAATGTTAGGACCAAACGCGTAATTTTAGCCAAACCATAGGGACGATTTCAATAATTTGTTCAATAAAAAATAAGATCAACTAAATAAGTATAAATTAAAAAATATTTAAAAATTTTAAACGGGTTAGTGGTTAGAAATTTCAACCCTAACCCAACCCATTTAATTAAATGAGTTAGAAGGTTTGACCCATATAATTAAATGAGTTCAAAATTTCAACCCAACCTGCTATTTATTGAGTTGAGTTCGGGTTGGGTTGGCGGTTCAGGTTGGGATTGTCACCCATAAGCCTAATGATTGATGTATAAAGTTACATACGGAAGGTTTAAGGTTCAAATGGTAAATTTAAAATATTGTTATTATTCTGTCATTGACCTTCTCCCACGTGGTTGTTATATAAGTTTATATGGATCGTGCACATGGTACAATTTACTAATTTTTTAACTCTTAAAATAATATATTGTTTAATTCATCGAAATATCATTTTATTATATAAATTTAAATAATAATGACGATGTGGTGGATCATATGGAACTTTCGGAATGACATTCTTTTCAGCGACCATACAGTCATAAGAAATTTATTAACTGATAGGCTGGTTGATTATACCTATAAGTGTTAGTCGAACTTTTTGGTTGCAAAACCCTATTTTGGCGATTCCTTTGTAATTATGTTAGTCTTTTATTAATTTTTTCTAATAAAATTCCAGCCGTTCAAAAAAGAAGAAGCAAATATTGAATCTTTCATTTAATTTTGCTGTTTTAGATTTTATATTCCTAGAGGCTGGGGTTCAATGTGAGATCTGTATAACGTTGGGGGATATAAATGAGGGAAATTGTCATAAAAGCCCTTAAGTTTTCCAAAAAGTGTCGGTTTTATCCTTGGATGAGTTTTTGGGGTATTAAAGCCGGATACTTTCACTAAATGTATCAAATATCTCATTTAACAGGTTGGATCCTTAGTAGCCGGTTACCCATGTGCTGATTTGGTATTTAATTGAGGAGTTGGCACATCCGTTACATCTGTTACGTCCGTTTACTCCTTATCTCAACCTTTTGCACGTAAAAGTATACTTTCTCATAATCGTTACATCATTCATCGCAAAATTAGGGCTTTTTCAAGAAGATTAGGTTTTGGAGAGTGGATTTCACAGGGGTATGTGTAATTTCTTTGAAGATTGTGTTATTACAGTTCTTTGTTCTTCAGAGGTTAACGAATAACGATAATGGTGTGTTTTTTAGGTTGTTATGATGGATTGATTCAGAAGACGAAGCAACACAACACCCATTTTGGTTTACGCGAGCCTTTCTCTGGTCTTAATAAGATGGATTTTGAGCTTCATGGCATCTACATTGATCATGAACCAGACGAAGAGTTCATTACTCCACTGGACAAGTGTAAGGATACATTTCTTAATGTGTTACTAACTGATAAAAATATTAGAAACTCTAGTTTGACTGATGATGTAAGAGCACAAGTGTATCATGGTCGTGACTTACAAAGTGATGAAGATGAAGAAGAGCAAGAACAGGTGATAAACAAGTACATAATACATGATCCAAAAACAAGATGGGACAAAATGGAACCAAAACTTGGTGACATGTTTGAGAATGTTACATAGCTGAAGTTTTGTATCCAAAACTACGCAGTCCACAATGGGTATCAACTCTACTTTGAGAAGTGTGACAGTACAAGAATACTTGTAAGATGTGGGAAAAGAAATGAGGATAATGGTTGCCCTTTGTAACGCCCGGGTTTCGGGGCTAAGCATTTTTAGACGATGTAATAGTCTAGGTCAACTACTATAACTCTTTTGATGTAATAAAGATGAAACATTTGAATATTTTGTGAATTTATATGCTTATTATTTAATTATAAATGTATAATTAATAAAGGATAAAAATAAAAATAAACGTCAAAGTTAAAGTTTGAGATAAGCCCGATATCTTTACATAAAGTTGTAGTAGTCGAAACAAGGATTCCGGTGATATAAAGAACGCCAAAATCCGAGTTATAACGAAGAAGTTATGACTCGTCGAAGTTTCGTGATGAAACCGGCACGACACCGGAAAGCGTAAATAGTGAATTTACGATAAAGCGATTTTTAGCCTTAGCGATCTCAACGAAAGTCGTAGAAAACATTAAACCGATAGCGTCCATAAAAAGAACGCCCAAATCTGACTTCGTATGAGGAAGTTATGATTTTTCGAAGTTTCGGCTTAGCAGTGTACAACCCGAAGTTTGAATATTAGATCGAGCGGTTTTTAGCAAACACAACCTAAACGAGAATCGAAGATCTCGTTAATAGTAGCATAACGATAAAAAGACAGACGAAATCGGACGTCGGATGAAGAAGTTATGAATTTTTAACGGACCAATCCTGTCCCGGCCTGTTATAAAATATAACTTTTAAAATAAAGTCAAAATTAGCCGACGGAGTCTAAATGAAAGTTGTAGAGTACTTTCCCGCCTACGCGTGGATATAAAGAACGTCGAAAACGGAGCTCGTACGCGAAAGTTACGAATTTTTAAAGTTTGTAGTCGAATTTGCAAAACTGTGATGACGTGGCAAGATCTGAGCCGTTGCTTGTTGCCCAAGGCTTCGCTTCGGATGGAGACACGTCGCCTCGCCATTACGCCCCACATCCGAATTTGGGTACGCCCAGCGTACCTTTAGCCTTATCCGTTCCCGAGTGGGAGACAGCTGGATCCGAGCTGGGCCTTATCCGAAGACTACGCCCCGCGTAGCCAAGGACTACGCCCCGCGTACGTCCGAGGCTCGCGGCTATAAATACCTGCGAGGGCTGCCGAGCAAATCACACCAATTCTCTTTCTCTCTCTAAATTCTTTCTCTCTCTAAGGTTCCAAACCACCCCTAAACCCTAGGAAAAATCCCTAGCACCCAAAGGAAGCCCCGAGGCTCCCGGAGTCCCGAGAAAAAGGGTCTTTCGGTTCGGAAACGTTGCTCCGAGCAAGGCCCGGTTTTATTTAAAATCCGCTGTAAGTGAGCTACGCCTACGCAATTTTTAATATAACTTTTAAATAATTATAGTAATGTTATTAGGTCCTTAAAATAATTATTTGGACTATTATTATAAGTTATATTGAGTGTTATTTAACGCTTATATAATAATAATAATAGCTAGACTATTAATTAGTCGCGGTCAACGTTAAAACTAAACCCTAGTGGTATTGATACTAGGTTTTGGTCAAGGAAAAATTGTTTTGAGATAACGAAGCGCTGTCCGAGTATCTAGTCACCACCTTCTCAGGTGAGTGCATATTCACTTTCATCTTACACATATATATGAAGTATTTAATATAAATTACGTGCTATGTGTGCATATTGTCTTAATACTTGCTGTCTATGCTGATGAAAGATTTTTATACACGTTTTAAATGATTTAAACTGTATATATATTTTATATCTACAAAAATGTTGGGGTATAACATGGGTAGATGTAATAGACGATGTGTGATAAAATGATGAGAGGCCTCGATGTTGTTGGTGATCCAGTCATCTAGCAAGAGTATAGATGACGACCACGGACTCTTCTAGACAGTCCAGTGGAACGCTAGCAGGCTCGCAACCTGTAGGTGTTTGTGAACGATGTGTTCACCGATGTACTCCATCCCCCTCATGGTTGCCTTTAGGACATTTATTGCTGAGGAACCCCCTTAGCAGTGGTGTCCATCCCGATAATGATCCTTAGTCTAGGTCCCTTATGATAGGTGTTTAGGGACGTAATGTGAGGATAACGGGAACGGCTAATCGGGTTATTGTTGGTTGATGAATTTAATAAATTATTTATTGTGGGTTGAAAACCCTATGTGCTCACCAGGCTCCTAAGCCTGACCCAATCAGTTTCATGTATTACAGGTGGTGGCGTTCGAGCATAGATGTGATGTTTTGGATGAGGGATTACGGATATAGGCCTGTAGATATGAAATAATGTAGTAAGGCTTATATTGTACTGTTTATGCTTTTGATCTGTATCGAACATGATATCCCGATTCTTTTAATGAAATACATTTCTTTGGAAATGCTTTTGATAAATCTTTATCATATTTTGTTTTTGGGACAAATTCCGCAATTTATTTAAAACGCTACTCTGATTTTCAAACTAGCATAAACAAAATCGGTCTTTTCTGGCCGTGAAAATGGGGATGTCACAGTTGGTATCAGGGCATTAGTTTAAGCGAACTAGGAATTTGTAGGATTTCTAGACTTAAACTTAGAATGCTAAGCGATGATTGTGAGGTGTGAGCACTAGCTTATTTTAGGAATTATGCCTAAAATGCTTTTATGTGCTAAATACTTTATGCCTTATGTGCTGATAATTGTTCGGATCTATGGTCTGTTGCCGACCGGATCTGGAAACCTTATGTGTTTAGGATTCTAAACGTACGACTACGATATTAGAACTAGCATGTAAACGTTTCGGAGAGATAAGGATGATTTAAACGTCTATCCTGAATAAAGATCTAAATTCACCTTATTCGGTGTATAGATCAAAATGGCAAGAACCCGCAGTGGAGCTGGGAATGCAAATGGGAATAGGAATCAACCCCTAGTGATTCAGCAAATACCTATTGTAGCGGATGTTCCTGAGCCAATCACGATGGCCGGAGTGCAAGCGATGATCCAGATGATGTTGGATCGTCAAATGGAGGAAACCAGGCGTTTGCTCCAACAAAATCACGAGGAAGCTACCATACCAATCGTAGAGCCCGAGCTGAATGATGGGCCGTCTGAAGGAGGAAACTACAGTGGGACTGTTGGTCAAGCCAACCCACCGATAGTTAGGCGAAACCACCAGGATGAAGGAAATGATGGACGTGGATGCAAATACAAGGATTTCATGGCATCCAAACCACCGTGTCTATCTGGAAACCCGACACCGGTGGAAGTCATGAACTGGATCTCCGAGATGGAGACAATGTTTGAGAGTTGCGAATGCAGCAACAGGCAGAAGACCGCTCTCGCGGTTCCTCTGTTAAAATCTGGAGTACTAAGCTGGTGGAAGCTACTAGCTGATTCAATGCCCAAGGGTGAAGCGAGCAAGATGTCTTGGGAGGATTTTCTAGTGCAACTAAAGATGCAATACTGCTCTGAGCAGGATCTTCTGGAGATCAACAATGAGTTCCAGAATCTGAAGAAGGGAAGAATGAGCGTTACTGAATACGCTGCAAGCTTTACAGAGAAAATGAAGCTTGTTCCTCACCTCGTCCCAACTGAACTCTCCAAGGTTAACAAGTTTTCCCTCGGATTACCAGCGGACTTCGGTCCAATGGTCAAGCAAACAACCACTCTGAAAGCCGCCATCTGGGCTGCTAAGAATGTGGAGACCCAGATACGAGAGAAGGGTCTGGAGAGAGCGGAGGTGGGAGAGAAAAGGAAATTTGATGGGTCGTCGAAATTCAGTAAGAAAAGCAAGTTCTCAAGGTCTGGTACGCAGAAGTCTGGAGGAGGTGAAGCCAAATGGTGCGACAAGTGCAAGAAGAAGCACCAGGGGAAATGTGACGGAGAGTCACTTGTTTCAAATGTGGAAAGCCTGGGCACTATGCCAATGAATGCACCCTCACCAAGAAAGTCTGTTATGGTGTGGCGAGGAAGGGCACATTTCGAGAGACTGCCCGAAGAAGAAGGAAGCAGGAAGACCCAACATTCCAACGAAGCCGAAGGCAAGAGCCTTCCAGATGACGCTCGAGGCTGCAAAGGAGGCAACAGACGTCGCTTCAGGTACCTTTCTTGTAAATGGATTGCCTGCCAATATACTGTTTGATTCCGGAGCAAACTACTCCTTTGTATCGCATAAATTTGGTGGGAAATTAGCATTGCCTGTAGAAAAACTTGATAATGCCCTAATTGTGGAAGTTGCCAGTGGCAAGTTCGTACCTGTTAGTAATCGTATTAAGAACGTCGTCATCGACCTAAATGGAAACGAATTCCACGAGGAGCTGTTACCCATAGAGTTGAACGGTTTCGACATCGTTTTGGGAATGGATTGGCTTAGCGCCAACGATGCTGAGATTCAATGCCGAAAGAAGATAGTAAGGGTAAACCCACCCGGAAAGGAGTCATTTATGGTGTACGGGGACAAACGCAGAGTGAATTCTGGAATTATCTCCCTGATGAAAGCCAGAAAATGTTTGTCCAAGGGATGTGCATCATACTTGGCATTCGTTATCGATGCTAAGAAGGAAAAGAAGGAGGTGCAGAGTATACCAGTCGTGTGTGATTATCCGGAAGTCTTTCCCGAAGATCTTCCCGGATTTCCACTTAATAGACAAGTGGAGTTTCGTATAGACTTGTTACCAGGTACAACACCGATAGCAAAGGCACCGTACCGATTAGCACCGACGGAGATGAAGGAGCTTATGACGCAACTTCAGGAGTTGTTGGACAACGGTTTCATTCGACCTAGTTCATCACCCTGGGGAGCTCCGGTGCTATTCGTGAAGAAGAAAGACGGAAGCATGAGAATGTGTATAGACTACCGAGAGCTGAACAAGGCAACAGTGAAGAACAAGTATCCATTGCCAAGGATTGATGACCTATTCGATCAGCTGCAAGGTTCGAGCTATTTCTCAAAGATCGATCTTAGGTCAGGATATCAT